GGTGGCATACGTCTTTGAAATAAGGTCTCCAATAAGGTTGGATGTGAAGTGTCCATCCACGTTTAGTAGGTCCGGCCTATCGCGGTTCACTTTGCTTCGTATTAAGTGTCCTTTCAAAATCAATCTTCAGGCCACAAGTTCAGACAGCTTGCGCATCGTAACCTCATATGTAGGAGAAAACCGTTGCACAGCCCGTCCTTATTCCGCCCGTAGGAGAAACCTCATCTCCCCTGCTATGACTTTGCCGATAGTTGGCGTGATCCCTAAGGCCCTACAAAATGAAATGCAGCAGCGTCAAGGGGCCAAAGCATCGTACACTACAGCATGGCGGGCCTTGAATGACCTCAAATAGAATAACCCTTCGCAAACTGAAAGGTCATTTCAGTTTGTGAAGAGCATGATGGGGAGGCTAGTTAAGAACGCGGGAACCCATGTGTTCCTTAACAAGCAAGAAGGGTGTTTTATAAGAGCCTCTATCACATTGAATGTTGCAAGGTCCACAATGTTGAATGCCGTCCCAAATTTGATTGTGGATGGATGTCATAACAAATTTGTGCGATGAGGCCATATCATCGACCTTGTTGTGCTTGATGGGGATGGTCATTACATATTCTGTGGCCATAGCATTTGTTGAGTCAGAAAGCAAAGAGGGGTGCTCTTTACCATTGAATGAGTTGCTTCGTGTTTGCGAGAGATAGTATGTACAGCTTGGTAGCAAAAGATGTGCATCGAATCAGGTCCAGCGTTTGCGAACATGACATTTTGGATCTAGTTAAAAAGGTCGACTGGCGCATATTACAGGTAACGACCATTGTAGATACCCTAAGTTGTGTTTTGAATTTTTATATTAAAAAAATTCCTCGAGTGCTTTGTGTTAATGCAACTTCAGATTGACGGTGTTGTCGTCCCATCGCAAGCCCCATTTCGTATCTATAGGAAATGGAGCACCAATCTTTGAAGTTGAGCTAGAAGTGCATGCAGAGGTTGTTAGGCATAAACAGGAAGCAAAGATGCTGCGTGTGGAGATGGCAGAGCTGCAGCAAAAAACTGACCGTCTACAGGCGGCCATTTCTGTGAAGCTGAACGCCCTCAAACAATGTTCCTTACCTTAAGATGATGGTATTGTGGACACACTTTGCATGAATAATAACCTAGTAGAAAATAATAACGAATCTAGGTCACTTATGAATGTCCAATAAAAAATACATAAAATGTGGTGTTCAATTAAATACATATACATATATATATCTAGGATGGGAAAATGGGAGAAAGTTGGACTAGTCATATAAATAATGTATTTAACGGCTTTCACAATCACATTGTTTATGATGTCAAGTGTGGATAATATCTGTCGTGTCTGGATAGGGGGCCGAGATGCACCAAGGCCCTTGCGACGTATGATCACCACACGTTTTAAACGTAGCTTGGTCTTGTTCATGGTGGCCATCGACTGATGTAGACATGCTTACTGTGACGAGACGAATGTTTTGTGTTATACATTAATATCTGAAAACATGTATATGTATACATATATATGTCTAGGATGGAAGAATGGGAGAGAGGTGGACTAGTCATATTAATGATGTATTTAACGGCTTTCACAATCACAGTTTTTTATGACGTCAAGTGTGGATAATATATGTCGTGTCTGCATAGGGGGCCGAGATGCACCAAGGCTCTTGCGACCTATGATCACCACATAATTTAAACGCAGCTTGGTCTTGTTCATGGTGGTCATCGACTGATGTAGACATGCTTACTGTGACTGGACGAATGTTTTGTATTATACATTTATATCTGAAAACTGTTGAGATCACCATGTGGCCGCGGGGCTTCCAATCAATGTATGTGGATATATTGAGTTAACTTTGCCTGAGAAGTATTCTTTTGTTTGCATTGACCCGTCTTTCTTGTTCCTGCTGTCCACATGGAACTTATTTCAAACTATTTATATATATGCCGCTACAGGTTTGTCTAAGTTTAAAAGGTATAGCAGAGTTAAGGCTTGTACTTGTATCACCATCCTCACTTCATCATTCATTATCCTACGCTGATAAGTACATGTGTAGACTTTAGAACTAGCCTTGTTGCTCATTGCTTGTGTTGACACCGTGTGGTGACTTCCTGATCCTAGCTTCGAAGTGTTCCCTTACCTGACTAGTCTTGTGATAACGCGCCTCTCTTGCCTAGGTTGTTGTGATGCCCCTCAATTGATATATTGGGGTGTGTCCAATGTACGCATGTATGAAGCTGCTCCGGAGAATAGAATATGTAAGACATATCAAACATGGTACGACATGAATGCGTCATTTGTGTACAAAGATACCACCGTGGCACCTTAACTTATTTCAAACATGTTCCGGACAATCCATATCTCATTTTTTCTAAAATGATTGCCTTTTTAGTACTCGTCCTTGTTTGGTGATTGCACTATAAGTGTCTTGCATTGTTAGCACCTACAACAATCCACATAGCGTGCTCTGGTCACCTTTTTACGCTGGTAAGGACCAATCCCGCATACGTTCTTGTCGATCGGCACACTAGATTGGAGCAATTGCATTCGCGAACAATTTTACAGTAGTGATATTATGAGTCTCAGACGACATGTGACTCGGCATTCTCGGACTGGCTACCGTTTTTTTTTTTTTTTTTTGGTTCATGCTCGCGAGATGATTCTGTTTATTACTATTACCACCACTTATCGCTCTCACCCGCGATATAGGTATTGTGGCAATCAGATTTCAATCTGGTCAGTACACAAGCGTTGCACAGGGTCTTTGGAAGGCCTCAATGGCTCGTTTATTTTGTCTGAAGGTTATTTATAAAGAAGAGCTAGTCTCGAGTCGGGAACATGGATTCCACATTCACTGTTGTGTTGTCTGGCAAAAATTGATGTCCAATTCACTTGTTATTGAACAAATTTATAAACACTATCTGGTACAAAGACTCATCATCTACCTTGTAGTGGCAGTAATATCACTAGCCTACATCTATGTAGACGCATCAAAAGCACCTATGTCCCATAACCAACGTTCATGTAGGGGTCTTGAGAAGTGCAGCTTGTCAAGTACAAATTCCACCATCTGCATGATTCATGGCTTATCCCACCGTAGTGTAAAGACCTCCGGTATCCCGGTCTGAGCCATACTTCTGAGCACCAGTTTCTGAATTGAGGTTAGGCCCCAAGCAAGTTCTGCAGTGATAGTTGTTGGTGCAACCCTATGGTTTGCACTCGGCTAGTTGACCGTGCGCGTGCATGCGTGTGTGCATGGAATGGTATGAGGTCATGCAATAATATGTATTTCATGTTTGTACTAGTGTGTGAATGATGAATCATTATGTTAAATGTGTGTGTCGAGACTATAGCGAGTTATCGCTAGTTGCTTGTTACGCGGTCATTTGTGTCTCGCGCGCGGTTTCTATTTTGTCGTGTGTCTTTTGCGCGGTTTCTTTTTTGTCATGTTTCGAACGTTCGGCGTGTCACAAGTGTGTGCAGCAGACCCATCAAGAACTCAAAGATGAGTTTGTGATGAAGAACCCGAGCCTTGGTTCCAAGACTCAAGTGATTCCAAAGCTGGCACCCCTCTCTACCTTACGCTCTCTACCTTTATCATCGCACAGTGCTTATCTTCGTGGTCACTCCGCCATAGCTAGTCGCTCTCGAGACTCAGCCATCATCACTATTTTGGCATTGCACCCACCCAGGCCGTTCACACAAAGCATTCGCTTTCACAAGCGCAACGAAGCACTCTTATGGTAGTGAGATTGTCGCGGTGCGTGCCGGGTAGCATTATGTCGCGACATCGTGAGGCTGTGGTCGTAGATCTATGGTCTACCAATCCGATTGCGAACCTGGCAATCAAGAACGACCTCATAAAGAAAATCATGTCAAATAAAGTGCGAGATAACATGCGAGAGGGGTCCGGAGCAGCGTGTGCATGCAGATAATGGCGACTGGAACTATGCGTAGAGGCTTGAGTTGTGCTTGCTCGCACACACAGAGCAGTGCTGTAGCTCTGGTCTTCACGGCCTGACAGGAGATGAATGTGAGTTACAGAAGGAACAGAGGCTGCCTGAAGGGAATGGAGGTGGGTTTGGATCTGGCTGCGCCAACTTCATTCTGCTTTCGCGAGACGCGTGTAACCTGAAACAAAGTTTAATATAATATTGTTAAGAGAATATGAAGGAGGCACTTCTAATTTCTTCCGCAAGTTGTTTCTTGGTTACCTTGTTGGAAACCACAAAAGCTTAATTGTCACTGTCGCAAATCCTTCTCGCCGATTTCGTCCTGCTCGCAAAACCACCATACTTCGTTCTCTGGTTTCTAGAACTGCCAGAACCTCAAGATTCAAGACAGTCCTCGATGTCGCTATTAGAGCTTGCACGAAGGTCCTTCCATGGCGACGGCTTGGTCAAACGACGAAAATTGCTCAGCTTGCTACAGATCTGCCTTGGGAGGGTTTGCATGGCGTGATGAACTTGCAGGTCGATATTTACGCAGCCACTATGGACCTGTATACCTTCGTTATGGCTTTTACCTTAGCGGCGCACGCGAACCTCCTCTGAAGTTTGCACCAATGAATTCCCTTTCGTTGCTGACTGAATGAGGCATTCTATAATGCTGGCAAAACCGTTGTCATGGGTACATGGCTTTCTTCGTTACTGAAGCCGTCAACCGTGCCAAACCCTAAGTCAAAACACTGTGATTCCGTTGGAACATAGTCCTTTCCTATGGCTTTTAATATCCGATTCAGGGTCTCAGCAGGTTTAATGCAACGCGAATCAAGAATCAAAGATTTGTGCACCACCAGTAGCTTCACCGATAGCCATTCCGAGAACAAGCCACCTATTTCGTTATCATTAGGCCACGTGGACATTCACCTCGTTTTCTCTCCAAATAAGTATCTTGAATCGGTCTTCAACAAGCTGTTTCAGTCCCATCTTTCCAACTGCTGCCAGCCGTCTGATCCACAAGCACAAGAGGTGAGGAACGCAGATAAATGGATTTGGAGGTTCGGAAGCAGCAGGTTCGGTTCATGGTTCTAGGCCAGGTGGTGTACCTCTCTCCCCACTCCACCGTGGAGCAAGCAAAGCTGAAATGCAGTTCCACCATCAGAGTGCTTCCCGTGACGACTGCGCTTGGAGGCGGAAAGGAGAAGGCAAAGGCCAAAGAGGGAGGTGACGAGGGTGTGACTGGCCATGTCTCTGCACCTGTTGCGAACTTGCTTCCTGCTGCGGCTGCTCCTCGTCATCCTCCTCCTGCTACTCCCGCTGCTGCACCTTCTGCTGCCAAGCCTCCTGCCACGGCTGCTCCGGTTGCTACACCTGCTGCTGCGAAGCCTCCTGCCGTGGCTGCTCCGGTTGCCACACCCGCTGCTGTTGCTGTCAGCAGGCCACGTGGGATTGACTACAGCAAGTGGGACCGCACTGGATCCAGCTGTGATGAGGAAGAGGAGGAGGAGGAAGAGGAGGAGGAGGAGGAGGAGGAGGAGGAGGAGGAGGAGGAGGAGGAGGAGGAGGGGACGAGGAGGAGGAGGAGGAGGAGGAGGAGGAGGAGGAGGAGGAGGAGGAGGAGGAGGAGGAGGAGTCACCGAAGGCGGACAGTGGCACAGGAGGGAGCACTGGTGGAAGGGGAACTGTTGGGTGCAAATGCACATTGCACGACATCCTGCCGTCTGTTTGTACGAGTATGCGTGTGCGAATGCATTTGCGTGTGAATGGTGTGTTCGTGTGTTTGTTTGCTTTCGCATTTTTCGCTTGATGCATTTGCAGGTACTCGCGCAATGTGCGCTTTGGCACAACATTGTATGCGCTATGAACAGTGCAAGCAGGAAGGACGAGCTCGCAAAGGAACCCAAGATGGAAGCTTTGCAGTTCGGTTGAGTTGATTGCGCAGATTCAGTTCTATCCAACTCGGAATTGTACTGTTTTGTTTGGTTAACTATAGTGTAGCAGGGAAGGCACTATAGGGGTACAATTTAGGTGAAGGTTGGATGTTGTTTGTCTGTATCTGCATGCTACAAGGCCAGGGGAAACCAGCGGAACCAGCATTTGGCTGGTTGGGCAAAGACAAAACAGGTTCTGTTTTTAGAACCTGAACCTGGTTGTTGTTTTCCCAGGTTGGAAAAACAGAACCAGAGGTTGTTTACCAACCTACCACCTGCTATTTTGTCCAGCCAGGTTGGTTCTGTTGCTTGGAATTATTTGGGATCATCCCTGGTTGTTCCCAGGTTGATTCCCAAGGTCCTTGCTAGCTAGAACTATTTAATCCTTCTCTGTTTGTACCTGAATATAGTCAAATTGATTCAAGCGAATTCCTTCCTCGCTGGAATTTCGTTTCTGCGCTATTCGACGGCGGAATGCTACCCGAGTCAACGCTAGTATGCTAGCACTCCAACGCTAGGCAAACGCTGTCCGAGCCATAACTTAGTAATGGCAGAACTTTTCGCGAGGCAACTTGGCTCATTTTAAAGCTCTTGGAGCGAGCTTCGATATAGCGAATTCTCAGCTTAATCCGATCGACGGTCTGCACGGCACGCTGCGCGACGTTCAAGGTACTCTTGCTGTTTTGACTAAGTCCTTGATCCCTCTCTCTACAAACTCGGACCCGAGGATAGGAGCTGGTCTTGTACCAGGCACCCAGGGACCCTTGGAGGTGACCCCGAGGAGAGGTTTTAAGTTTGATTAAGTCCTAATAGCTTGAGTTTATTAGGCCCTTACACCAACAAGCTGGTATCAGAGCCGCGTTATAGTGATCCTCGTTATAGGTAGCTATGGCGGGCAACACCTCGGCGGGAGCTGGTGAATCTTCAGCCCAAGATCGTAGCGGCAGCCAAGATTCTGGTCTTTCAGCGCCAAGGGGAGCGCGAACAAACCAGGGCTCGCTTGTCAAGGAGGTGCTGAAGAATTTCACCGTCGAGAAGTTCAATGGTGAGGGCTATGATGATTGGGCCTGGAAAATGCAATTATATTTCCGTCAGATCGGTTTGCTGAAACTAATGATTGGGGAGGAGCCTAGACCGAGTGACCCCACGCTGCAGGAAGATTGGGACGAGCGCTCCTCGGCTGGCTACTATTTGATGTCGCAGAGTTTGGAGCTGAACCAGCGTCACCACGTCATGCACCTGCTGCCGGAGGTTGAATGCGGTCCGAAGGCGTGGACCGTGTTGAAGGAGCTGCACGCCCCGACCTCCGTTGTCGCAACGTTGATGCTGGAGAGGGAGCTGTCCGCGTTGCGCCTGAGCGAGGGAGAGCCGGTGCAACCAGTCCTGGACAAGATGCGCGACCTCTACGCGAAGTTGGCGACCGCGGGAATCACCTACCCGGAGCAGACCAAGTGCTTGAAGATGCTCTCGCTGCTGCCAGAATCGTGGCTTCAATTTACGAGCGGATTGAGCCTGCCGCAGAACCAGAGCTTGTGGACGCTCGAGTGGGTGCGGACGAAGATTCTGGAGGAGGACTTCCGTCGCCGCCAACTGAGGGGTGGAGACGACGGCAGCAGCGGCTACGGGATGCAAGGGAGCCGACGTGGCAGAGGACGTGGCTTCGGTGGTGCTGGACGCGGTGCAAAGAAAGACGACGACTCCAACGACCAACAAGGAGGTACCGGTTGGGGTCGCGGTGCGAAATCTGGACGTGGGGGCAAGTCGGGTGCTGGTGGCAAAATGAAAGGGAGTTGCTGGTATTGTGAGAAGGAAGGGCACCCCTGGTTTTTGTGCTATAAGAAACCCGATGGATGGACCCCCCAGAATCGTCACCAGGATGGCGGCGCGCGGAGGAACCAGAAAAACGGCGCCAACATGGTCGCTGATTCGTCCGACAACAACCCGAAGGGCAACGGCGGTGCGGAGAAGAAGAAGGAGCGCACCGCGGGCCAATTCTTCCATGTAGGAGACAAGGGGGAGCAAGGAGACGCCTCTGCCAAAGTTGGAGCAGAGCTGCACCCCCTAGACTATTGGGTGTTGGACACAGGCGCTGCTTGGACGATGACGCCGCGCAAGGACCTGCTGGACGAAGTACGAGCTGCACCGATCAATGAAGTGTGCTCCGCCTCTGGACACATGTTGAAGGTGGCTGGTGCGGGACGAGCTGCGTTTAAGGGAGCGGATGGCAAGCCGGTGGTGCTGCACGACGTTCTCTTCGTCCCCGACCTGAAGGCCAACCTTATCTCCCTCCGTAAGCTTGGCAAGGCTGGGGTGAACACCAACACGGATGGGGCACGCACTTATAAGGGGAAGCTGGGCAATCGGGTGCTTTGGGATCTGCACGAGAGCAAGGACGTGTACAGATCTATGTGGCAGCTGCCGGCCCTGGCGTGGCATGGTGGGGGGCAGGCTGGAGAGGGGTCTGCATCCCAGGGGGAGTGCAATGCCGTTGGAGGGGTTGGTGTGAAAGTGTCGGCCAGATCTGGGGAGACAGATTGGGCAACGGCACACCGGCGCTTAGGGCATGTGGCAATGCCTTTGCTGAAGCAGCTGGAGAAGGATGGAGCCGTTAAGGGTCTGAAGCTGAACGGACAGCCACCCGATGACAACTGTGAAATCTGTTTGCTTTCAAAGTTCACCCGTTTCCCTTTCCATAGTGTGGCTGGCAGGAGCAAGAAGCCTTTGGAGCTGGTCCACATGGACTTGGTGGGGCCGCTGCCGGTGCAAGGGCACAAGGGGGAGCGGTATTTTCTTACAATTGTGGATGACTGGAGCAGGCTGATGTGGGCGTATCCGCTGAAGCAGAAGGACCACGCCGCCTCCACGATACGGGACGATTGGCTGCCATTTGTGGAGAAGCAGGCGGAGTGTGTAGTGAAGCGGATTAGGACAGACCGGGGTGGTGAGTTCCTTGGAGCTGAAATGACGGCCTGGCTCAAGAAGCAGGGCATCCAGAGAGAGCTGACCACGGCTTATACCCCACAGTCCAATGGTGTAGCAGAACGGGCAAACCGGACCATTCTGGAGACAGCTAGGGCGCTGCTCATAGAATCTGGGCTGAGCAATTCTATGTGGCCTCATGCTGTCCGGCACGCCACTGTCGCTAGGAACAGGGTGCTCACCAAGGTTGGGGATGACTCGTGGGTGCCGTTGGAGAGGTGGCTTGGGAGGAAGCCGCCGGTGGACATGCTGAGGGTGTTCGGTTGCATGGCAGTCGCCCACGTCCCCAAGACCTACCGCAGTAAGTTGGGGGCGAGTGCAATCTGGTGTGTGCATTTGGGGCTGGCTGCTGAGAGCAAGGGATGGCTGCTGTGGGAACCATCCAAGGGTGTGTTGTTTGACAGCAGGGATGTGAAATTCATTGAGGGCATGATGTATGGGAGCTGGGAGAAACAGCCGGAGGCAAGGGTGTCCCAGCAGATGGAGCAGATCACCATGCAGCTGGACCTGACTCCTAGTGTGTGGGAGGAGGGAGAGGAGGCAGCTGCTGGAAATGGTGATGGAGAGAAGGTACAGGAGGCATCTGCTGGTGGAGAAAATGGTGTGGAAACTGGCGGCAGCACTAGTGGAGCTGCTGGACCCGAGGGAGGAGAGAAGCAGCAGGGAAAAACTAAGAAGCCGAAGGGTGTCGTTATGAAGGGATGGGAGACACCCGTCTCCAGGCCAGGACGTACCCGTATGGCTACTAAGAAGCTGACTGCAGGAACTGATGCAGCAGAGCAGCAGCTAGGGACCGAAGAGGCATTGCTGATTCTACCTCATGGCTATGACCCGGATGAGGAGGATGAGCCTGCGTACTGTTTTCTTGCCCCTGCACCAGAGGAACCAGCTAGCATGGAGGAGGCATTAGCTGGACCAGATAGGGACAAGTGGCTGGCTTCTAGGGATGCTGAGTACCAGAGTCTGCTGGAGAATAGGACATGGGATCTGGTGGTGCTGCCTGATGGGAAGAAAGCGATACAATGCAAGTGGGTGCTGAGGATCAAGACCGATGACAAGGGGCAGGTCACCATCTACAAGAGTAGGCTGGTGGCGAAGGGGTTTATGCAGAAGGAGAAGCAGGACTTCAACGAGATCTTTGCTCCCACTGCCAAACCCCCTACCCTCCGTGTCTTGTTGGCAGATGCAGCTGTTAGTGGGAAATTCATCATTCAGATGGATATTTCAACGGCATTCCTGAATGGGATTTTAGAGGAGGATGTGTACATGACGCAGCCGCCTGGGTATGAGGATGGTACGGGCAGGGTGTGCAAGCTCAACAAGTCCATCTACGGCTTGAAGCAGGCGCCACGCTGCTGGTACCAGAAGTTGGCAGCTGTTTTAGAGGAGATGGGATTCAGGACCAGCAGCTGTGATGAGAGCCTCTTTCTCAAGGGCGAGGGGGAGAAGCTGGTGCTGTTTCTGGTCTATGTGGACGACATTCTTCTCTTCAGCAGCAGCATGAAGGAGATCCAGAAAGTGCAGCAGCAACTGATGGAAAACTTCAAGTGCAAGAACCTTGGGGAGGTAAAGTACTACCTCGGGATGCACGTGGAGAGGGATCCAGATCACAGGTGGTTGAAGCTGCACCAGGAGAAGTTCATCAAGGAGCTGGGGGAGAAGTATGGGATTGAGAATGAGCGCAAGGTTGCAACTCCCCTGCCAGCAGAATTCAAGCTTGTGAAGGCTGCAGAGGATGAAGGGGTTGAAGCTGAAGAGCAGCAGCAATTTCAGTCCTTGGTGGGCAGCCTCTTGTACGCAGCAGTTCACACGAGGCCCGACATCTCTTTCTCGGTTGGGCAGCTGGCTAGGGTGGTGCAGAATCCATCAGAGGAGCAGGTGGATGCAGCTGAGCGTGTGGTGAAGTACCTGAACTCTCACCCAAGCATTGGAGTTCAATACTCCGCATCTGCACAGGTGAAGCAGAAAGGGGTGGAGGTGCTGAAAGAGAAGGGGGAGAGGCTTGGAGAAGGCAAGCTATTTCTCACTTGCTTTACCGATGCTACGTGGGCTTCTGAGAAGGAGGATTCCTCATCTGTGGGAGGATACATCTGCGTAGTTGGGGGAGGACCTGTTAGTTGGAGGTCCAAGAAGCAGACGGAGACGGCACTCTCTTCCGTAGAATCAGAGTACATGGCGATGTTCCATGGGGTGAAGGAGGTGATTTGGCTGAGGAGGCTGTTAGAGGAGATTGGCCAGGAGCAGAAAGTTGCTATGCCGCTGTTTTGTGATAGCAAGGGGGCTCTTGGGATGGCCAGGAACGCTGTGCTTCATGGGCTGAACAAGCACATGCGTATCAAGTGGCACTGGCTGCGTAAGGAGGTGAAGAGGGGGACGGTGCATCCGATCTACATCAAGACTCACCAGCAGCCAGCAGACTTTCTCAACAAGAGGCTTGCGGATGAGCCTCATTGGCGTTGTGTGCGCATGAGTGGAATGAGCATGAACTAGCATGGAATGACGGGGATGCAGCCGGCAGGCTGAGGGGGAGTGTGTTGGGTGCAAATGCACATTGCACGACATCCTGCCGTCTGTTTGTACGAGTATGCGTGTGCGAATGCATTTGCGTGTGAATGGTGTGTTCGTGTGTTTGTTTGCTTTCGCATTTTTCGCTTGATGCATTTGCAGGTACTCGCGCAATGTGCGCTTTGGCACAACATTGTATGCGCTATGAACAGTGCAAGCAGGAAGGACGAGCTCGCAAAGGAACCCAAGATGGAAGCTTTGCAGTTCGGTTGAGTTGATTGCGCAGATTCAGTTCTATCCAACTCGGAATTGTACTGTTTTGTTTGGTTAACTATAGTGTAGCAGGGAAGGCACTATAGGGGTACAATTTAGGTGAAGGTTGGATGTTGTTTGTCTGTATCTGCATGCTACAAGGCCAGGGGAAACCAGCGGAACCAGCATTTGGCTGGTTGGGCAAAGACAAAACAGGTTCTGTTTTTAGAACCTGAACCTGGTTGTTGTTTTCCCAGGTTGGAAAAACAGAACCAGAGGTTGTTTACCAACCTACCACCTGCTATTTTGTCCAGCCAGGTTGGTTCTGTTGCTTGGAATTATTTGGGATCATCCCTGGTTGTTCCCAGGTTGATTCCCAAGGTCCTTGCTAGCTAGAACTATTTAATCCTTCTCTGTTTGTACCTGAATATAGTCAAATTGATTCAAGCGAATTCCTTCCTCGCTGGAATTTCGTTTCTGCGCTATTCGACGGCGGAATGCTACCCGAGTCAACGCTAGTATGCTAGCACTCCAACGCTAGGCAAACGCTGTCCGAGCCATAACTTAGTAATGGCAGAACTTTTCGCGAGGCAACTTGGCTCATTTTAAAGCTCTTGGAGCGAGCTTCGATATAGCGAATTCTCAGCTTAATCCGATCGACGGTCTGCACGGCACGCTGCGCGACGTTCAAGGTACTCTTGCTGTTTTGACTAAGTCCTTGATCCCTCTCTCTACAAACTCGGACCCGAGGATAGGAGCTGGTCTTGTACCAGGCACCCAGGGACCCTTGGAGGTGACCCCGAGGAGAGGTTTTAAGTTTGATTAAGTCCTAATAGCTTGAGTTTATTAGGCCCTTACACCAACAGGAACGGCCTGGAATCCTGCCGGAACATGTGCTGGAGATGGTGCTGGTAGTGGTGGTGGTGGTGCTGGTGGTGGTGTTGGTGTTGGTGTTGGTGTTGGTGCTGGTGCTGGTGGTGGTGGTGGTGTTGGTGTCTCTGAAGGAATTCAGGCCATTCGAAAATGAGATCTGGAAGAAGCGCAAGGAGATGGTGAGAAGGTGGATGTTCCTAGCAGAGGCAGCTGCCAGAGCAGGCAAGGCAGGAGGGACCAACAGAGAGGGGGGATTAGGGAGACACGAGGCTCAAGGAATGAAAGATCAAGATGGGCAAGGTGGTGAGTCATGTGGGAAGCTGCAGCTGCAGCTGGTTCCTCGGGCGGGCATGGTGTACTATCTGGACGTCAACGTCGCTTGGGGAGGGGCTCACTGCGAGAGCTGCTTGGAGCGCGCAGTGTGCTACCTGGTGCAGTGCGAGGTGTACTTCTCCAATCTCCCCCTCCTCCGAGATGAACTTCGCAAGGTGGAGCTGCCCTCCATTCCCTTGGCGCTGGGAATCTCGAGCATGAAAGGAGTCGCAAGCTCAGACCGAATCTCCTAAGTCAGGGCTGCTGTTGAGTTCTCCTCGTGGGTTCAAGTGTTGGGGAAGGGGGAAATTAAAAAGGGCAGCAGGAGGGGTCTGAACTGCAGTGGTTCTGCAAGTGTGAGATGGCGCCGTTGCTGTGTGCGGAAGCCATAGTGACAGAGTGGATGGCTGAGCCTCGTGTGGGCGTGCTCATGGACCTGGGGAGGATCAGATCCCGCCTGCATGCCATCCTGACTGCTTTAGATGTCTCTGCTATTGCTTCTTCCCCTGCTGCCCTTGCCACTGGTACTGCTAGGGCTTCTGCTGCTCCAGCGTTTTCCTGTTGCTGGCGCTGCAGCAGCTACTGGGCTGCCTACCGCCGTGCAGTCAGCTTCGCTGCCTTCCTCGTGCTTGTAGCGAGATGGCCCCGGTTTGTGACTCTGTGGCAGGTTCGAAAAGAGTCGCAGCAGGTGGCCTACCCAGCGATCCTGGCGGAGCTGGTGCCAGGCAGGCATGCAGAGCAGGATTGCTTTGCTTCCATGCTGGTGCAGGTGCTGGAGGTGAAGGAGTGCTGCTCTGCGGAAAGGGTTTGACGTCCTCATGCAGAATCTGCTGACAGGCGGGCTGGAGAAGGCGCATCCAGAGGAGAATGGGAAAGGTTGAGCTGGTGGTGCGGGAGGAGGGAGCCATCTATGGAGTCTTATTTGGGGTGCTGTTGCGGGCAAGGGCAAGAAGGGTGGACAAAGGGAGCATCTGAAGGGGCGTGTGTGGGAGAGGTATGTGGATGGCATGGCTTGGATATTGGAGTATGGAGGGGGGGAAGGGAGGGACTTCAGGTGCAGCCATTGCAGTAAGGGGGAAAACAGCAGCAACAGCAATTGCAGTGGCAGTGGCAGAAGCAGCAGCAGCAACAGCCGCAGCAGCAGCAGCAGTGGCGGTAGACTCAGTAGTGTTGGCAGTGGGATGGAAGGCAGGGACCTTCCCAAGGCATGTACGTGAGTGGCGTGGGTGCCACTGACTTTGCTCTGGTTGTGGCGCCAGTGTACTCACGGCTAGAGACTCGCAAGGGCGAAGACTGCTTCTGCATCGATGCCAGAAACCCCAAGCAGACCCAAGCGGAGGCCGCTGCGATTGAGGAGGCGAGGGATAGAGTGAGACGTGCGGGGCTGGCACGCGGGGCGACTGAGAGAGCAGGAGGAGCAGGATTGGCAGGAGGAGCAAGAGGAGCAGGAGGAGCGGCGTCTGATGTCACTGAGATGCCTATCACCAGCTCAAGGTTCGTGCCTATCAACACCAACCCAGCTGTTGCTGTCGTGACGTATCAGGTTGGCTGTATCATGCAGTGGGCCCGAATTTACGGCTCAAATACCACCTTGGAGAAGAAATGCTTCAAGGGCTTGTTCTAATGTTTCTGGCTGAGAATCCTTTCCAAGGAATTTCCTTAGAAGCAAAGAGAACAAACAGAAAAGAAAACAAGGAACAACTACTCTAACTCCTACGAATGCATTTTTATATGTACACTATTTACATTTCAGAAATGCGGCTCGGAATGTCGATTCGGGTGGCCAGCCCCGACATCGAGTCGAATCACCCTTTTACACATTTGTAACACACTGCTTGCACACACGTGTCCCATTTCTAACCTTCCGATACTGTACCCTCGCCACCTGTCTCTCGCGGAAGTCTACCCTAGTCATTCAAGGCACGAAACCTCAATTTCGCCCTTCTCATGTGAGTTCCCCACGTCCTGCACACTTCCGCACCTGCGCTGCCCACATTCGCAGCTGCACGCTGCTGCTGCATGCCCTCGCCACCTGCGCGCTTCGTGTTAGCTCCCGCGCAGGTGCCACGTGTTACATTACCTCCCCTCCCTGAAGGCACCGTCCACTTCGGGACCTACCAAGCCTGCTTCTCAGGTTCGGCGCCATCCCTGAGCCTGTAGACGGCTGGAGCTTCTCCTTGGAATGGGAGAAGTGGCCTTGGGGCGAGGAAGCTGCTCTGAAGCTTCCTGATGATCCAAGCGCGAGGTGCTTTGGCCTTGGGATTCTGGAAGGTGATGGGAGGAGAGAGGAGAGTAAGAAAAGCCCACCTCCTCAATCATCCAAGGCAGAAGGAAGGAGGAGGGATCGAAGGAACAGAGGCCGTGGGGCAGGGCAGGGAGGCATGAAGAACACGAGCACTCTCACAAGCATTCCCTCACCTCGTCCTACCACTAGCCACCTTTCCATCGTGCGCCGTCTTGCAGACGTGGAGTGCATTTCGGAGTTCGCGGCTGCCATGCTCACCCCGCCTGACTGCTCCGAGTGCAAAAGGTGCATCAAGCGCTACACCTCCCACATCCCCTTCGTCACCTTCATTGCCAACTACGCCTACCGTCCCTCCAGTGTCCTGTTCTACCGCTTCCTCTCCGCGTTCCTGCCGCACTCCAAGGAGTTCAACAACCTCGTCAGCATGTTGGGCCTGGACCCTTTACCCATGGGCGCCTCTCTGGAGGAAAAGAGGGAGAATCTTGAGCGCGTGCGGGCTCAGGCAAAGCGTGTGCTCGTTGCTCTGCTGCTCTGCATTGCACTGTAGGGTGGGTTGGAGGAGGGAAGTTTGGAGCCCGGGGGCCTTAGGGAATGGCAGGGGCGGTATGGAGGATTGCTGGGATGATCGCAAGGTGTGGGCAGAGGCTATGTTGCACCTGACACCCTCCTGGTGCAACGTCCGAAATCCGGACACCAACGTCCGGACGCTGGACGCTGGGGAATTTTTTCCTGGGCTGCCCAAAAAAACTCCACCGCGAGATTGACGCGCAATTTGATCACGACCAGAATCGTGATGAAATCGCCAACATTGGGTTGTTTTTTGGCCAACAACGCAACCCACATTCAATCCCCCCCAACACATTTTCACCCCTCCATACCTCCCAATCCCAGCCTGGACGATCCAGATCTGAACCGGAAAAGCAGATCGAGGTCGACAATACTCACTTCTCAATCTCTTGTCATTCCCTACGTCACACAAAAAAAACCCAAAAAACATTCCCCCATGTATCCGCAAACAGTGTTGGAGGTACATCAGAGGAACACACTCTGAGCATTACCACGGGGATTGTCTAAAGAAGGGGTGGGAATCATCGCGGTGTGTTTAGGGATACCTTGCATAGGCTGCCTAGGGTTTCATTGCCGACTGCCAGAAAACACGCAAAGCAATCCCACCCCATCCTTTTGTCCCCCGTAATGCAATAACCGACATTGTCTCACGGCTCCTACACTTCGGGCTCTTTGCACTCACCATAGGGTCGTATGATTTATAGTCATTTTTGCCATAGGAACATATAAAAATCCAACATGCTACCTAACTAGGGCTTTCATTCGCATCGTTACGGCTATGTTCACGTGATGCTACACTCAACGGGGAATACTGCCCAGAAACGAGACCTGCTATTAGGAGGTCACAATCTACAAGGCAAGCCGGGGGGGGGGGGGGGTTGTTGTGATTGGTTCAGAGTGTCGAGATGATTGATCCAGCGTGACCCGCGGCGCCAAACAGCTGGCTCCCGGCTGGGTTTGTGGTTGGTGTTGGGGGGGGCTGTTTATAGGGTTATACATGGTTCTACTGCAATTGCCAGGCGTACAGCGCGGTGCTGCGCATGTTGAACAAAGGGGGTTCTGTGTGCAGTGTGAGCCGAAATTTACTTAGCACGAGCACAAGACATAGCCACACACATACAGAACTAGTACACACAAGATTACCATAGCACGACACACGATAAAACACCCCAAACATGGGCGATTAAGAACGTTGCCGCGTATTATACTAGCCGCGGATTGTTAGCGAAGCGCATTCTTGGATCTTCTTATTAACTCTCGCCCAGTCGTTCCGTCTCATGGGCGTGGTGCTGCTGCGGGAGGCAGGCCATGGTGGCGAAGTGGTACGTTAGGGAGCGCCACCACCGCCTCCGGTGCACGAGCGGCGGGGGATATGTCCTCCATGCCATCCTCAGAGATGAGGATGTGCGAGCCGCTTGTTTCCCCCCAGACCTTTGCAACTTGATCTCGACGGCAAACGAGCACACGCTCGCCTTCCCCACCCCTTAGAATTGGCCCATCCGGGGCGTTTTTAGCCATATTTTTGCGGGCCTGAACCTCCACGCGCGACGCTCCTCGACCCAGTCTAGCCCGTGTGCCTCTGTGCGCGTCAGAATCGTCGCGTGGGCCCAGCGCTTGACGCGGTCATGGTACCAACGCACCCCCTCTTCGTTCTGGGGACCGCTGCGCACCAGGCTGCTTCCAGTGGCCAGCGGAACCTCCACCTGCACGCTATAAAACACACAATTTCGAGATAAACTAGGACATACGGGGGGTAAGATGACAGAGTAAGCTTGCCGGCGAGCCACACTCCTATTGTGCGTGAGCAAGCCACGAATATAGCCGCGCCACTCACAACTTACGCCAAACAGGCAGAAGGCAAACGTAAGTGCGCAGGACCAACGGCGGTGGGTACGGGCACCGAAAGGATGTGTGGAGCCCGCGGCTGAACGCCTCTGTGGCAAAGGGAATGCTGTGCTCGTTCACATGCCATATCATGAGCTCGTGCGATCCAGGCCCTACATGGTATCGAAGTAAGTGTTCGGCAGGTCAACACCTGATAAAAAAATACACGTGCATGACGTGTGGCACAGACCAATGGTTGCCTTACCCACCTTGTAGACTTCAGAGAATTGCTCCGCGCTGATGCACGGATCTGCGTCACGGGGCGGTTCCGCCGGGACTGTGATGCGCGGGTTCGCCGCGCCTTCGTACGGGACGCCGTGCAGGACGTTGGTGTATGCGCGCCCCTGCTCCCAGCGTAGGTTGCGCCACACCTGCATGCGCCTCGTCATCCATCCAGTGTGCTTAGCGTCGTTCAACAGGGCGCGCTGCCCAGGATCGGTTATCCCCAGTGCCTGTGCGACGACTCGCTCAGCGAGGAGGGGTGGCACCCAGAAGTTCATATCGGCGACGGCCGTGTCATACGCCAGCACGTTGATAGCGTAATCTACCACTGCCTGCCATGGGGGCACACATTGCGTCAGTTCGTGGGCAGTCCACGCAAGCATCGGTGAGTTGTACGAGCTATTCACCTTCCAGCCCGTCTCCATCGAGGGCACGACTCCATTGGCAAACTCCAGCCTGTCTGCCCACTGCTGAAAGCCGTCAGGCACGTCGCCTGGCTGTGCCGCGTGTCCGGCCTGACGCAGCTCGTGTGCCAGTGCGCCCGCCACCATCGGTGTGCGCGTGCGCTCTCCTGCCGTAACTCCTCGAGTAGCACGTATGGGTGAAGCGCGGCGCTGCCGGGTAGTTGGGCGGGCATCGTCGCCAATGGTGTCTCGGCGCGCCGTACTTGGATCCGGGGAACGATGCTGCCCCGCGTTGATCGACCCCTCAAAGCGTTCCAGGGTGGATGTTATTGACATGATTCGGCGTTCCTGCTCCCCGACGCATGCCGCCATAGCGGCATCTATTGCTGCATTGCGCGCCTCCTGGCGCACGGTTGAGCCTGCGGCGGCGGCACGAGATGGTGCGGGGGCGCGTCCAGAGAGGAGAGGACGGATCATAGTAACACATGGGGCTCCAGAAAACACTTCAGACACTGGGCGCTGAGGACGCCGATTACCTGCAGTGCGAACCACAATCTCAAGCTTAGTGACAGGGTGACATCGACGGTACCAGGGAAATGCTGCACAAGTAACATGCCACGCACAACATACAAAGAATTTAAACGGTTGAACTCACCCTCTTCGTCCTCGTCAATCGAGTTCTCCTACGCAGCATGCTCCTCTTCCTCTGGCAAGTCCTCCATATCGAGTCGGTCTGCCCACTCGAGGTACTCAGTGTCGGTGTGCTGGGATGCATCACCATTAGCGCCCTCCGACACGCCATCGTATTCGGCAGTCACGGGCTAGCGCTCCTCGGTGACCGACATTGCGTCGCGTGTCGCAGACGCTCCCGCACCGTAATACAAATATGTCCATAGAGCCATTACGCTGCCCGGCGTTATGCCTGGCCGATCTCCTGCAAGGGGTGAATGGTAAGTTTGCTGGTTCCATACTTCTAGCAGCTTTGAGTAAGATTGGGTACACAAGTGCAATGTTGAGTCCATTGTTTATAGTAACGCCCTCGCGCCTACGGTCAGAGGGGTACTAGTTAGTGGGAGGCGTTTGACTCGTGGGATACTTTTCATACCCCTGCAGACTCATGCCGCGCTGTGCGACAGCACACGGTATTCGCGCGCTAAAGCACGTCATCCAGGGGGGTTGTGCTCGCGCGATATTGGCTGACATTAATGACGTGTGCGATTTCCAGTGACAGCACACCCATGCGCACTCGGAGTTGGCGCCACCACGCGGAGTGGCACTGAATGAACATAGTTATGGTGGATAGGAGTCACAGCTGGGACTGCCAGCGCGACAGAACAAATGCGCACGCGCTGGTGACGGGGATTAGACGAAGATATTTTCGTGTACACGTGACTCATCCAGTAGGGGATGGATTTAAGCGGGAGCGTCATATGCCCCGTCCGTCTTTGACGCATCGCGAAGGCATCTATGGTGCCTCTCAGGGCAGCCTGCGGGTGGGCTGGCGACCTTGTGATGGTAGCACGTTCTATTGACATTGCTTAGAAGAAAGAGTACGGCTCGTGTAGTAGGTTTGAACCATACAGCTCCGAACAGTAACACACAAATGTAGCACACACCTACAACTTCTAGCAACTTATAGACGCACGTTCATGGCCGGCACATGGCCTCTATAGCATGATAGCCATGCACGATGCAAATTTCACACATTAGCAAACTCGCAAACGAAAGGATCTAGAGAATGAAATCAGGGTGCTCCTCATCCTTCCGCTTGAGGTTGTAATCCTGGTACACCAGACGGTACAATGGTGGCTTGGGGAAACCCTCGGGTGTGTCCTAAGGAAACACGCGCATGTTTGCGCGTCATTCGGCGGCACCTCCCACCATGCTAACGCACCAACCGCGTGGGCTAGGATCCCGGCTCCCATGCCGTCGACACCCCCCACGTGCTTGAACTGGCGATATGGGTGAAGGCGCGGTTGCTGGATCTTGTAGTCCGCGTATGCCTTACGTGCGTCACTTGCACCGTAGTGACATTGTAGAGTACATCGGCACAGTGTTAGATGACGTTATCATTATATATCTTTAAACTGCTACGCATGTGTAATTTTTGTACTCACCACCCAGCCCTCGCTCATGGCGAACTTCATAAGATACAGCCTATAATCTGGCTGAACGCGTTCCGCGCGGCGCAAATCGCCGACGCTACGAGCAGACGCATGAACGTACTGGTGCCGACCGCGAATGGCATCTTCGAATGCAGCCACCTCTTCCAGAAGTAAAATTGAGTCCTTGTTGTCGTGTATGACTGTCTTGATGCACATCACATCAACATATGGCAGCTCAGCGTTGACACCCATTCCGCGTCGTCAACGCAACGCTTCCATGGATTCCATGCGTTGTGCCGTGGCGACACCGTGCTTGGGCATAACCAGGTGAGCAATGTTGTCCAAAAGTCGACGTGGCGTTGGAGATATGCCTCTGGCGCGCAGTTGCTGATACTCGATTTGCATCATCACTGCGGACACATGGGGAAAATCGCGTACAAGTACGGATTCGGAAGGGGGCCGAGATTTTGCTGTGCGAGGCTTAGGCCATATGGCCCATGGTAAAGCTTCGAAACGGGCCGCGGCGAGTCAGAGCGGGCGCAGCGCCATTTCCGTGCTGGCTGGACAGCCGCTTCTACTTTCGTGTTTTCTACCTTCACCACTTTCAGAGGTTGTGCTGGTTGTGTCTAATGCAGAATGAGCGCGATGGCGATGCTGGCCAAATGTCTCTGAAATGACAATGACCGTGACGCCTATGTTCATTCTCGATTGAGGGCGTATCGTGGAATAAATAAGGACGATTTTATCTGCTCGAGTTACAAGCTTGCTCAATATCTTGCCAAGTCATGCGCCGAGTCATGTCAAGTCCTTTCCCAATTCGCTGCTCGTACCCCTTGCTGACTAAGTACTGACGTGTGCATCCTGGGCTCAGTTCCAACTGGCTGTTTAAGGTATGAGCTGTTCTGCTCACACGTGCTAACAGATTTCGGACTTTTTTGACAGTCGAGACATGGATGCATTTTCATTTCAAACTTCCCAGAAGGCAATGATGTACGATTTCGCGCGAATAGGCGTTTCTCAATAAGGAACCCAGTTGCGTGTACATTTGGAAATTGCGCCCACAAATCCATCATTTTGGTACATAGCATACAAGGATGACATGCACTTCTGCCTGCACCTTTCCCATCCAAACCCACACTGTCAACACCCTCATGCACTCCCAAGGAAAATCCCAATGCACCACAGCTCGCCTACTCTGGATTGCTGAGAGTCTGGCAGCACTAGAACTCATTCCACGCATACATTACGCCCTGACTCTACTATTTAGGCGATGGTTTGGAGGCCTGCACAACATGAAGAGGCACCATGCCTTCTATCGCTACTCTTTACGCCTGTGAGTGTTGTCTGTGCCACTTCCGCTCGAGGGCTGCGCTATTTGCACACAAGCAGCGCAACAGACTTTGCAGGCGCCTCAAGTCCAGGTTCATCCGGACTCCAGGAGACGATGCTCGTATGCGCGCTAATGCAGGTGTCCCCACAGTTCCAGCCGTTGTGAACGCTCATGTGGTCGCCCCGAACGTTGCTCCAACACCGCCAGCAAACCTCTCGGTATGCTTTCCCGAACCTTGCGTTAACGAGCGGATGGTTGTCCCTTGACCCAGCTGCAGGCGGTCCCGCCAGCTGCGCAAGATGATGATATTCCAGATCTGGCCGGGTCTGAGAGCAGCGACGACGAGTCCGACAAGGCGAGTGGTGACGGCGAAGACGAACAGCTGGCGCTGCGCACGGCTCCCTTCAACACCCTACTCGAGATATACCGATTCATTGTCGGGTGCAATAACGGTGTGGGCCTGTCTAACCGCGCGACGGTGTGGCTTCTAGCACTTCTCCGAGACCCTCTCCTCGTCCTCACGATCATTCGCCACTGGAGGACGCGTCACAACGTCGACCGGTATGGGATGCGAAGATTGATGGGACGGCGCGAGTACGTGTCGAATACCGTGGTCATCGTTGGCTGGCCAGACGCTTTTGAGGTGCTGACGGCGGATGGAGTGGCGGTAAGTAGATCCACACCTTCCGCTGAACCGTCACTCGTACAGGGTAATATAATATCACGTCATTGATGCTCATCTAAGGGTGTCTTGGATGTGTCAGGCACTACTCGGTCTCACATCCAGACAACGCGCCAGGGTTTCAGGTGGTAAGCCTATTATACTCAGCCTGCATGATTACTGCGACAATTTCGTGGAAGTCACGCACCAGTACGGCCGTGGATGGTGGACGCGGTGCGCAGACACGCTCCTTGGGCCATACTGGACCACGGTATATGGTGCTGGGGCCACGGGGATCCGTACGGGCGCAGCGCCACCCGCGAGATGGCGTGGCAATTCGGTCAAGCAGAGCACGAGCGTTGGCATGAGACATTCTGAAAATGCTGTCTTTGTTGTGTGGTGGGTGCGCGAAGCTGTTGTGTTGAAAGGCTATATTTGTAAAGGAGTGCACTCAGCCAGAATGAAATCAACGGATGCTCGCGAAGTCGCCGGTGTGGGCGACCGACAACGATATGTTAACACTTTCCGTCGCCGTGTTGCCGATTTGACCCTCTGTAACAACACCGTTAGATGTTACTACAAAGATGACGTGTCGCCAGTCGTAAAATATCAGCTGCCATCAGCTCTCTAGTTGCGTACAAGCACGTGAGACATAGTTGAGCCACACAGTGGTGACGTTGTTACGGGGTACACCATTGCTGCTCTCTCGTGGGTTGGGCACTAATAAAGATAGTGCTTGGAGATTGGCCATGGTTTCTTGTGCAGCTCACACCAGTGCTCACCCTCCGCACCCTGTAATGGGCAGGCGGTGCTCGAGATCTTTTGACACCCGGACAACGATGAGGGCTTTGTGCTTTACCCGCGTAAGGTGGAAACAGTGGCATGGCGCACCTACTCAACCCCGGAGTTGGGCACCTACTAGGAAGAGGCGCAGCGTGCAGCAGAGGAGACGTTCGGCCCTGGCTCCGTGGTAGTGCCGCTCATCATATTAAGTGATGCGACTGTCCTGAACGACCATAAGAGGACAAAGGTCACCGCCGGGTTGCCTCATCAAAGGCCTGGAGGGATTTGTCAGAATGCTCTGGAGCCCGCACGCAACTCTCGTGCCACATAAGAACCGAAACCAGCGCACGACGGGCGACCTCATCCCCGTGGCCTTCGACCAGAGTTGGGACGATCTGCGAACAATAGTGAACGGTCCGTGTTAGAGTAAGAAATCGGGAAATGCTGCTTCGCGGGT